TATCCTTTCATTTAAAAGTAGAAGAAATAAAACCATTTTACCCTTAAGAACAAAGGAAAAATCGTAATGCACAAAAGAACTTTTAAAAAGAAATCTTATGATACTTATGGTATAACAATTTTGGAAAACAATTTGCCAATACCTATCAAAGCAATTTGACCCAGCAAATTCACTCCTTTATATGGTAAAAAGAAAAAAAAAACACAGAATACATGAATACATCTTCCAAAAGACATGTCCTAGAATATTCACTGAAGTTTTATTCATAGTTTCCCCAGAGTAGAACCTACTCAAATGCTGATTGAGAGTTGAATAAATCTATTCTGAAATAGTCACACAATGGAATTAAACAAGCCAGCAAGTGACCTGCAATTACGTGCAACAATATAGATGGAAGGTACAAACATAATTTTGAAAGAATTTAAATCCACTTATATAAAATCTAAAAATAGTACAAAGTTATCTGTGCTATGAGAAGCTAGAGTAATGATCATCTTGAATGGAGCCAGATAAGCAAATAGTGACTACCAAGAACATTAGGGAAATATTAGTAATATTTTTGTAATTTATTAAACTATATACTTATAATATTATGCATGTAATATTTGTACATCTATTTTGCTTCTATGCTTATTTGAATCTGTGAGACTTAGAACTATAGATTTGGAAACAACCACACAATTTTTTTCTATACTCTTTTTTTTTAAGCTATTATGCAAAGCATTGCATTTGTTGAAACCTTACAGTAATTATAGCTGGTGGATACTATGTGATCTCATTTTACAGAGAAAAAAAATGGAGGTTCAAATGGCTTGCCTGGAAAGTGGCACTATTAAGATAGAAGCAAAATACCCAGGTTTGAACACCTCCAAGACTGAAAATCCTGGTGGGAACCGGAGCCGTGGAGATATGGGAAGGGAGTAGGGAAGCCTTAAGAAAATATAGGACCTGGATCCTCCGGTTCCCAGCTCTGTATTCACAAATGGCTTCCAGCTGAGCACACTAGGAAATAGGAGCCCGAGGCCTTAGGGGAAATGGAGTTCCCTAGGGGCAGGCAGAGTACAACAGTCACAGGAAGGGATTACAAAAACTGGTCTGCTGGGGCTGGGGGGAACCAGTGTCTGGAAGCCTAGCTACTCTGGAGACTGAAATCCAGAGGATTCAAGAATGAAGTCAGCTTGGGGAGAAAAGACTAGGAGACTCCCATCTCCAAAATAACTAGCAAAAAGCCAGTCTGGAAACATAGATCAAATGGTAGAGTGCAAGTTACACAAGTGCAAGGCCCCCAGTTCAAACTCCAATACTGAAAAAAAAAGGGCAAAGGATCTGAAAACTTATTTTTCAAAAGATATACCACTAATCTTCAGAGAAATACAAACCGAAACTATAGTGAGGAACCATGTCCTTTTGGTCAAAAAGATGAAAATTAGCCAGACACAGTGGGCCCATTATCCCAGCAACACCAGGAAGCACAAATAGTAGGACCATAGTCCAGGCTGACACAGATATAAAGCAAGGCCCTATCTTGTTTTCCCTATCAAACCCCAGTACCAACAATAACCAAAGCAAACCTGACAGGTACTGACTAAAATGTTAGGGAAGGACTATTTTTACATACTGTTGATGTGATGTCCTTAAAAAAAAAAGAAAAAGAAAAGAAAATATAGCAATTCCATACCTGGATTTATAGCCAAAGGAAAGGAAGTTCGAAAGTCAAGAAGATACTTATACACCCATATCACTGCAGCCCTGTTAAGAGAAGCCAAGATATGAAATCAACCCTCATGTCCATCAGTTAGTGAGTAGAAGAAAATATGGTGCACACACCCATTACGGCAGTTCTAGTTAGTCATAAAAGAATTGTCAATTTTAGCATGGTGGATGGACTGGGATGTGATATAAAGTGAAACAGGCCCGACACAGATAATCACACAGAATCTCATTGAAAATGCCAATCTAGAAGCAGGAAGTGGAATAGTGCTACCCAGATGCCAGGAAGGGGGAAAGAGGGCCTGAGGAGAGATAGGTTAATGGGAATAAAATTAGCAGCAGTCAGTTCTAGGGTTCTTTGCAGTCAACCCTATTGCATCCTGTAATTCTAAATAGAACAGTTTGTGAATCTTCTCACCACAGACAGATGATAAATGTTTGAGATGTTGGATAATCTCTCCTGAAGTGGTGATGGTACAACATGCACATATACTGCAACAACATCCCACTGTGCCTCATAGAGGATGCAAGAAACTTGCACTTAAGCATGGCCCTCAGCAAGTGGTGGATATGAGGTTGGCAGGTAGGGGCGAAGGGGGGGGGGGAGTGAGGGGTACCTGAGGGATGAGGGAGACCTACTCATCACTGCCCCAGAGGAAGATGCAAAGACCCATCTGCCTCACAAAGTCATCACCTAGACAATACCATCACTCTTGATAAGAGCTCCTCACACCTCTACCTTCTCTGGAAGGTCCTACTTCAGGGAGATTAACAGTTCAATCTCCTTGGCGACATGCCCTCCTGCCATGGCTGTGTGACAGTTCTAGAAACACCTCCTTTCTGGACCTAGCCCTCATGGAAGGGCTGTACATCTGTAGAGCTGGCCTTTCTGCCATTCTGTATAGGCCTCCCCATCTCCTTTCTGTATAGGCCTCCCCATCTCCTTTCCACAGGAAGTCTCTACCTCCTCTAGTCTCACCCAGCTCCACTATCTGTGAAATTATTTATGGTAAATCCACAGACTAGAAGTATAGTAGAAATTATCAGGAGGAGGTAGGAGGCTGGGGGTGACTGCTAAGTGGGTCTCTGATGTGATAGGATTTGAGGTGGGACTTTTGGAGGTGCTGAGGCTATGTGAGATCTCAGGGGGTTGGGGGCTGATGGAAATCCCATATATATATATATATATATGTTTTTTTTGGGGGGGTTGTTTTGTGGGGCCTGAACTCTGGGCCTGGGCGCTGTCCCTCAGCTCTTCAACTCAAGTCTAGCACTCTACCACTTGAGCCACAGCGCCACTTCGGGTTCTTTTCTTTTTGCTTATGTGGTGCTGAGGAATCGAACCCAGGGCCTCATGCATGCAAGGCAAGCGTGCTACCACTAAGCCACCTTCCAAATTCCATATTCTTTAAACAATATGTAATTGAAAAAAAAAAATCTCAGGAGATATATGCATCATTTGCATCCCTATTTTCACTAGTTAACAAATCAGAGGCAGAATTTAACTTGTTTATAAATACTTTCAAAAGGTAATAAGTAAGTCCAGGAGAATGTTGATTCCAATTTGTGTGGTTAAACCAATTCTTTGGTGTCATTATGATGACCACCTTCAATCTGAGCTTTGGGTATGCTTTCCATGCTGTGGCTTAGAACATTTATAAAACAAGCAAACACAGACGGGGAAGTTGGCTTTGTTTTCGGTTTTATTTTAAAAATCTGCACTTAGGCTCAATTTTGCAGTTGCTGCACCCGTGTGACTTCCATCCAATAGCTTTTCCAGGAAATTCTTTTCTATCAGCTGTAGATACTGCTACTTTGACTTTGCTCACAAACTTAAGACTATGGTCTGTTATTATTTGTGCTGAGGATTCAAAGACAAATTACTGGCTTTATATGAAACATCTAAAACCGTATCAATGCTTCAGATATGAAGATCATTTTATTTTGTGACAATTTCATGTTTCAAGCGTAGCTACTGTACTCTGTTCCCTTTAGTGCCTGAAGTACAAACTTCACACAAACTAATTCTATCGTGCTTCAGTTCAAGTAAACTAACAGGATTCTTAAGCTCTGCCAAAATCACTCCAAGTAAAAATTAAGGGAAAATCTTTTACAAGATGAATAACAATATTGCTTTTACAAATTGTGATACTTTTAAGACACAGTACACATTTGAAATACCTTTCAGAGATATAATTTTTAAAGAAATCTCTCAGTGAAAATTGTCATAGACCAACTTAATCCAATCTCCTGCCTTATAGTTTTTCCACAAGCTACAAAACAATTAGTCTTCATTTTCATTCTGAATTGCCTTCACTTAAATTTGTCTCATACTTTTCCAAGATTAGTCTGTTCTTGGCTGGGAGGCTGAAAAAGCTGGATGCCAAGGGATCACTCCCAGTGTATATAAATAGGTATTTTCAGTCTACATAGCATCTCCTTTATCTTTCATTCATTTCAGTATTTACAATATCCCAAGAGTTTTCTTTTAGTAACCACACTTGATAGTGGAGGCAGCTAAGGCTCAAAATGTATTTACCTAGAGTCCCAACACTTCCACATCATGAAACCAGGCATGACAATTCCATCCCAGCCCATGTGACTCCATAGCCATTTGCCAAGCTACCTCCAATGAACAGGAACCTAATTACAAAGGGAATTCAGGCCACATAGTATTCAATAATGCCTTTGCTGCAGGGTTGCGAATATCAAGAAAACTTCTGCCTTGTAAATTGTAGTGAAAATGCTGGCCTTACCCTTATTCAGTAGAAGTCTTTACTATTGTAATTGTTTTGTTTTCTTAGAACCTGACACAGAAACTTCATACAAACTAATTCTATTTCATAATCATAGACTATTACAGTATAAAGTAATGGGAGCTGTAGATCTTTAATTCTCACTACATATGGGTCTGGAGAGGGGTCAGGAATCAGAACCCTAAATATTAACACATTCTTTTCTTTTTGTCAGTCATGGCTCCTGAACTCTGGGCCTGGGTGCTGTCCCTCAGCTCTTCAGTTCAAGGCTAGCACTATACCACTTGAGTCATAGAGTCACTTCCAGCTGTTTCTGCTTATGTGGTGCTGAGGAATTGAACCCGGGGCCTTATGCTTGCAAGGCAAGCATTCTTCCACTGAACCACCTTCCCAGACCCTTGACACATTCTCAATAGGGATTACTGCTAATAACTGGGTAATGGTGTAGGTTTGAAACACCATCCTAGAGATTCATGAGATAATTAAAGAACTGATAGTAGAACATAGACTCCCAAAAACAACACAAAACACATGTAGAGATTTCCAAGAGTTTAAAGTTCACAAAAAGTAAAAACTTATTCAACTGTAAATTCAGATGTTTTCTCATTCACATGCAAACATAAAATCTCATTTCAAAAACTTTCAGCATCATTAGAAAAAACCAGACACTGTATTATCTAAAATTTATTTACAGTTAATAAGTTAAAAAGCAAGGTACAATCATATGCACATTAAACCATCCAGAGAAACACTTCAGTTCCACTACAAACAATTGCTTTCTAATGCACTTAAGACATAACAGTTTATTAAAAATTAACATACCAATAAAGTAAATGTTAATATATATATGTTCATTAAAAATCACCTATTTAAAGAACGCCGTGGCAACCCTTAAAACAAAAAGTTTGCATCCAAAATTGTTCAGATTTGTATTCAAAAAAAATTTTCAATTGAAGGAATTTCTGAAAAATAGCAGTCATTTGCACATAGCAAATCAGTAGGTATTAGCCACCAGCTTGTTACATTTGTCCAATAGTGAATTCAAACTTAAAGACAAAATAAACACACACCACAAGAGCAACACCTCGCACTATCAACAATGAAGCTTGCTATCATGTTACTGACTTAAAGTAAAAGTTGCTGGTTGACCGAGAGGAAGGTAAAAATGACATCAAGGATCTCAAAAGGTCATGTCAGGTGCCAGTCACCACATTTAGGCACTCAAAAGTCAAACATTTAAATGAAAGCATAGGCAGGTGATAGATCTTTTTCCTAGATGTCCCTCTCTACTTGTGCTATACAAGATATAAGAGAAAGCATGTTATAAGATTTCTCTGAAAAACTATACACAAACTAAGCTAAAGATTCATTTTATAGGACAGTAATGGATGCCTTACAATAGAGGCCACTATGCCAAATTTCTTTTCACATTCTGCCCAAAGGTATCCATACAAAACTTTCACGCTACTATACATTAGCCAACTGTATTAGATGTTTTTCTTCACATTTTAGGAGTGGTCATATGTTTCGCTGAAGAAAACTTGACAAAAATAGTTTCTTATTTTGTTTTTTACATCTTACTCCACAAACTAGAAATGGCATGACATTTTAGTAGCCCAGATGAGCTATATTGAATTCAGACAGGCAATCAGATCCAAACTGACATCACTGCAAAGAAGCCAAGGAATCATTTACATGAGTTCAAGTGCACTAAAGTAACAAGGCATAAGAAAAATACTGTCAAGAATCTCAGTTAAAATAAATGCATGGTGTCACTGGGTTGTTTTAGTTGTGGGCAGAGAAAAGCTATTCTCTCTGCTAGTCTAATTTCAAAATCCTCTGGGAAACTAGGTAAGGAACATGTTGAAATTACATTTTAATATGGCCATTGGATTTGTTTTCAGCTATTATAAAACTGTACAATAGTGTAGTGGTACAAATACATTTTCTGCAGGTGCTGAGTTAGCTATAAAAGTTAACTATATTTTTTGGGAATAAAATCGTATGTATCTGAAATACATTTGGCAAGGAGGCTAAAGACTGACAGAATATGTCTTAGCTTCCCTTCACACAACTATAACTTAACACTCTCCTTCTGATTATATTCATTTTTTATTTATTCATGTGACAGCATGTGTAACAATTTATTGAGTATAAAGATTAGGCTTATTGGGAAACTGGCATAAAGTCATATATGTATTTATATATGTATATATATATATATATAGTTCTTTTTACAAAACAACACTGAAATTAAGTCACAACACTCTATGGACTACTAAACTTAAAATAATGATTTTCAGAAAGCTATGCCATTTGAATTCTAGGATTATAAGGATCAAACAGGAACTTATTTTCCCAAGAAGCTGCCAAACTGACAGAAACTTTAGCACTAAGGATTCAACATGTCAAGTTCCAGCCCAGTATGGATCATTCCATGGCAGAATACTTAAATTTGTAAGACTAGTAGCACAAAAACACTTGACCCTTTAGGTATTGCGGTAAAAGCTGGCTGTGGCACCACTGGCTAAAAACCATTAAGTCTTGCTGCCACCAATGACCAAAGGCACTTGGATTAATCAAGGATTCCATACTGGGCGGTATGGTATACACACTATTATAAAAGTGTAATGAAGGGTCAGTGCTCTGTTGTAGTTCTCTATTTGATTCCTGTGGCCTTTAGTTGTCAAAGATTGCAAGCATAATTATAAATGGAAAGATGATTTTTTAAAAAAAGAGAAAATTCACAGGACAAAAACAATGAATTGTCATGAAATTCATAAAGGCAATGAATAATAATCTGGGCATTTCTTGGTATCCAACAACAAAAAAGAAAAAAAAAGTATGTTGTCCACAGTAACTTCAACTAGTTATTTGATATCAAGAAATGGCCCCACCCTTCCTGTAGATCATTATCCATTCTGAAATTCTAATGGGTATTCCGTTTATCCCTTTATTCGCTGTTCACATGCATTGATCTCTCTAATGCAACTTCCATTTTACAATGTCGTCCCTTGAACATTCCTGGATTTTTATGTTAGACGGTGACACGAGGCCAAAGTAACTCCAACTGGATTCCACTCATTCCTGTCACCAACGCCAGTTGTTCACAATTCACTTTTTATCACAAGCGATGCGGTTCCAAACACGTTAAATTTTATTCAATTAAAGAATTTGACAAGTCAATTTTTCCTAAACAAAACTTGAGAACGGTATTCTACCATTTTTGTCTAGAAGCTCAGTAAATAGCAACATAAAATTTTATGAGAAAAACCTTATATAAATGTCTAAAATTATACTTCTCCGTCTCTTTGTAAAAGTCACTGAATTCATAGAAGTCCTTGCACTCCTATCAGTTATAAACTTGAACTCTTAGAAAATATCTTTGATCAAGGCTTTGGAATCCAGGGGGAAAATAACAATAACTTAACAAAACGAGTGAAATTCAGAATACCCTGAGCACAAACTAGTCCACCAGCACAAAACATATCCGATCTTCCATCCAGCAGGAAGGGTGGCAGCGGTCAAGGGAGGAGAATGAGCAAAGTCAAAATTGTGCCTTTTTTCTTTTTTAAACACAAGCACACGACCACAAATGCTTTTGGAAGAAGAAGGAAAAAAAAAACAACACAAACGATCTTCTTCGGAGGACTTCCAGACCAGTGAGGTAGAGTCCAAAAGGGGGAGATCGAGTCTGCCCCCTGTAGTCCTGGATACGTCTCAATCTGGGGTCAGGAAGCCCAGGGCCCTCCCCCCGCGGTCCGGCCGGCTCCTCCTCCCGCAGACGGAACGCCGGGAGGCGGCCGAGGACACACACCTGTCCCGCAGCCCCCCTACCCCCGCGTCCCGGGGCGAAGGGCGGGACGAGCCCGTCGGGGGGCTGGGTCTGGTTAAAGTGCGCTGAGGACCGGGTGCGGGCCGATCTGTAAACACTCGACTGACGTTTGTCCGTCCCTGCGGGGCCAGGGCGGCGCGGGTCACCCGCGGCCCCTCACGCCCGCGGCACCGGGAAGCGGCGCAGCCTCACCACGGGTTCCAGGTCCACGCGCAGGACTTGGCGCGCTCGGCGCCGCGCCGCCGCCAGGCTGCGCTCGCCCCACACGTCGTCGCCGACGCGGATGGTGGGGAAGGTGGTCAGCGTCGGGGTGGCGGCCCTCCAGATCTCCTCCAGGCTGCGACCCCCGAAGCTGCAGGGTCCGGGCTCCCCGGGCCGGGCGGGGCCCGGCTCTCCGGGAGCCGGCGGCGGCCGCGGCTTCCTCTGGGCCGCGGGGGCCGCGCGGACTCCACGGCGCCTCCTCCTGGCCGCGGCGCGCGGGCCGGGCCGGCGCGGGCGGCTGCGGGCGGCGGGGGGCTCGGCGGGGTCGGGCACCAGGGCCCGGCAGGAGGAGTAGCCGTAGACGTCCTTGCTGCGCAGGATGTGCGGGGAGAACTGGTGCTTGAGGCTGCACAGGAAGCTCCAGAGCTCCGCCTCGGAGCTCATGAACTCCGTGCTGCTGGGCATGAACAGCTTGAAGGCGTCGCCCAGCGCCTTGGTGCTGTCGGCCAGCGACAGTTGCGAGCGCGAGTACACCACCTTCTCCTCCCGCGCCTCGGGCGGCGCGCCGCCGCCCGCCCCGGGGCCGCCGCCGCCGCCGAAGTCCCAGGCGCCCCGGGGCCGGCGCCGCCGCCTCTTCACGCTGCGCCTCATCGGAGGCCGCTCGGAGCCGCCCGCCGCACTCGCGGGGCCGCCGCTGCCGTCTCCCGCCCCGCGTCCGCGTCGAGCTCCGCGGCGACGGCCGCTACGGGCGCCTCCCGCCTGGCGCGTCTCTCGCTCCCTCGCTACTTTTCTCGCCTCCGCCGCCGCCCCTCCCCTCTCTCCGAGGGCGGAGGACGCGGTGGATATCCTGCCGCCCGGCTCAAGATGGCGGCCGGCGCCCACCCCGGGGCTTTGTCATTGGACGGCGCCTCGCACCTCCCCTCCCCCAGCCTCTCTTTCTTCTCCTTTCTCGCTTCCTCTTGCCCTCCGCCTTTCTTTCAATGTGCCCGCCTCAGTGCCCGCCCACCCGCGGCTCCGACTCCACCCATTGGGTACGTTCCGAAGAGGGGCGGGGCCTCATGGGGGAATGGCCAGTTCCTTGGAATGTTGGTTGGTTGGTGTGTGTGGTGGTTGTGGCCCTAGAACACAACGCGCCTCATCAACAGTTGGGTGGGGAACGTGAGGGTTGCCATGTCTAGAGGAAGGGGTGCTTGTGGGCTCCATCTTGGACAGTGAGTCAGGGTGCAGTGTGGTGGGTTGGGCTGGCAAATCTACCAGTCTTAAGTAACAAAGGGAGGGAGCCCCAAGACTTTCCAGGCATCAACAGCAAAGGATTTGTGTGTTAACGTCTAGAAGGATGGGCCTTGCACCAGCCCTTAGCTAGTGTTCAAAAGCATCCTTAGGCATCTTGGTAACCCTTCTCTTGACCCTAAAGCCATCTCAAGAAGACAGTATCAGACAATATGATCTTTGCTTGGTAATTAGATACTTTGGTAATTAGAAAAGCAAAACCTTTTGCTCTCTATGAAATTAAATATATCTTAAATTCATCAAAAATCAGTTACAACAAAGCCATTAGAAAAATATCCTAATTTTTAAGTACATAGTTCTTTTGTGGTGCCCCCTCACATTTTCGTGGTTATCAAATGTTCAAGTGTAGCACCCTCCCTATTGTCCCTATTGTCTAGAAAGAAAGTATCTTTGCAGTGTAAGGTTCTCTTGAAAAGAGCCTATTTGTTAAGAACACATTGCCTTTGTATTGGAAAGAGAATGTTGTAGTCGTTCTTTTGTGATCCTTTCATTCCTCCACACTCAACTCAAGTGCCTGTCAGGTAATGAGTACTCAGTGTTTGCCTGGTGACTCAATAAAATACCACTATTTGAGAAAGAAAATAATATTAACATTGCTTAGAGCAGGGTAATTTTTACATTTATGTTGCAATTTAAACTTCTTGTTCTGGTGCTGGATTAAGTACATGACCTCACACGTGTTAGGCAAGCACTCAACACAAGATTTTTAAGGTTAAAAAAAATGACAGAACTTTGAGGTAGGTATAAAACTTCACTCTTCAGTAAGCATATTATTTTGATGCAGACTATACAGTAACAAAGTTTTGAGATTTACCTACAGTTGCTGATTGTTTTCTTGAGTATTTGAGCTGAAAAAGACCTAGTTAAATCCACTCGTTTCACAAATGAGCAATTTTAGACCCACAGAGGTTCATTATCCCAGCTTGCTCATAGCAAGACTAGAATGCTATGCCTTTGGACATTTACTCTACTGGTGTATATAATTGACTGGTGCTTTTTCAAATCATGATGCCTTGACTTTTGAGTTCTGTAAAAAATGCATTATACCTCAGTGGGGTGACCAAAGGACAAAAATGTGCTCTTATTCTTACTTTTTCCCTACTCAGGATTGGGCAGGCTTTAATCTTTCTTTTATTGAACATTGATTACGTTTGTTTGAGCCACATAACATTTTGTTTAGTTTCAATAGAAACTAAGACAAAATAATTTGCCAGTTGTTTATCTAGACCATCCTCTCCACACAATGGGTTTAGGGCAAAAACTCCTGACCATGACCAGTGTTTAAGCTGCTAAAATAATTGTAACTTTCTGAAGAGAAAATTATTTTCCTAGTAAAGCACACTGTGATCTCAGAACAAGATTATTCAGCCAATTATCACTTGCCTAACTCCTTATAAAGAAATTATACTGCAACAAATCTATATCACAATCAGTTCCCTTGATAATTCTGAGAACACATGGTAATATGAAATCTGAATAACTTCTATTGGAATACTCCTACAGACAGACATAGGAAATAACACAAAGTAAGCCAGTTGAAAATTAGCAGGACTTCACAGAAAAAGAAAAGAAATTAGGATAAATTTAGCTCTAGATTCTTATATTGCTATTGTCACACTTGCATATTAATTTATAATATTAGTTCTTCAGGTCTTGACATATAAATGTGTACTAGGCATCCACATAAACTTTAATTTCAATTTTTACACAATATTTATTAGAAGCATCACATCTAAACAAAATTATTTTTATTCTTTATCTTTGTTATAAAAGGGAGTTTCAATTTAACTTGTCCATTCATGTGTATATTATATCTTGAACCTTGTCACCCCTTCCATTATTCTCTCCCCCCTCTATCCCATCTCCACCCATCTTCTCAAATTTCCTAGTTCATTTTCACATATGTTCATTGAGTATTATGACTGTATTCACCTACCATTTCTCTCACCATTTGTCCTTCCCTCCCCCTTATTCCTATCCTCTTTGTACAAAATATTTTTAAGCTTCTTGGTATTCCTTTTGTTAAGCTGTTTAAACGTTTTTCATAGCTAGTTTTAGGAACCAGTATCATATTCAACTGTTTAAACTATTTTACAATTTTAATTTTGATGGATTTGCTCTCTGTTCTTTTTCCTTTATTTCTTAATTTCTTCTTGACCTTCACCCTTTAATTGGCCCAAATAGTCTTATTCATTTCTTATTCATTCTCCATAAGTGAGTAAATTTTACACATAAAGGTAATGTATTCCTTCTAGTACTGAGATACTATTTTTTGGAACTTGACAAATTCTTATTACTGAGGAATTATAGCATATAATCCTCAATTTATTCCCTTACTTCTTCAGGATAAGGCTCCATATGTCTGATAAATAAATGATAGATAATAAGAATAAACATAAAAATAGCTGTTGCATCTATTTTCTATATAATTATTGTTTGAAAAAAGAATCTAAACAAAATGAACTGCTTAGAGAAATCAAAACTAAGATATTTCTCTTAGCTACCCAAACTTTTTCTTTATTATCCTATTTCTGTAAAAATAATTTGCTCCTTGAATAGTGACCAAAAAGAATAAAAAATACATGTGTATGGAACATCTGCTCTGGAATCAAATACACTTGGAATAAGGCACATTTTCTTTTCTTTTTTTTTATTTTGAACCACAATCTTCAGATCTCAGCCTCCTGAGTAGCTAGAATTATAGGCATAAGATAAGGCACATTTTCAATGAGGGTTTTTTGGTTTTTTGTTTGTTTGTTTTTGGACACTCTTTTATCATGTGAACCTCAGTTTTCCCATCTGGAAAATGGATGTAAACTCTATGTCAGTGGGTGTTTCTGAAGATTAGATGAGAATATTCATAAGACACTACAGTACCTGAAATAAATTATAGCTATTCTTATTTGACTTATCTAATTTTGAGTATTTTATTTGGTTTAGCCAACATAGCCAACGTATTTTAAGCCCTATATTACAGAAAGTCTAGATCTTTTCAGAAAAGAGTAATAGAATTGATGAGTAAAAATAAAAATGATTAGAAAGAAAAGGCAAACTATAGGGATACTATTAAAATATAGTTAATATTATAAAATATGTAAAATTCTATAAAGTTATAAAACTATATTTTGTACTATAAAAGTCATTTACAGATATTTAAAGTCCAACCCTCTTAATTGAGATAAAAATACAGAGGCACTAAGAGATCTGGCCAAGGTCACAGTGTTGGATACAGGAAGACTAACATATAGGTCTCTAATGCTTGTCCAGAGTTATTTTCAACATTATAAATTTTGTATTTAGTCCAGAATTAGCATTGATTTCTAGTTTAAATGATATTAGCTATAGCAGGACATATCAAGGAACAATTCAACTTCTTCACTATATCCAAAAAAGTCATTTCAAAGCTCTGCTATGCTCTAAAACTGGTTATTTTGAAACACATAAAGGCCATATAGGCTTAAAGGATAGAACTTATGCATCTAGAAAGATAGAATATTTATAGTTTCCCTGATTCTTCCTGAAAAATACAATGCAAAAACTGAGGACTATCTATCTATCTATATATGTATTATAAGACAGAAGAATGCTGAAAAACAGAATGAAGAAGGCAGGAATCTCAAAATCCAAAAAAGGGCATGTCAGTGAATTCTCTGGGTTTTCTTTTCATTCTTTTCCACTCACTTCTCAGAACCAGAAATGCTGAGAAATATAAAAAAAGACCTAACAAAATTCATTTTCTGTAGTCATGATACCAGGAAACACATAGCTGAACAAAACAGAAATCTCATTTAAAATAATTGTCTTACCACTGTAAAACAGCACAATAAAAATGATGACTTCTACTCTTGCCAGAGTACACAAGAGTATCCCTCTAGGCCTAGTGGCCAGCCTAGAAAACAAAGCAAGACCTTACCTTAAAAAAAAAAAAAAAAGAGGTACCCCCAACACCTCTTCTGGGATGGTATACATAGAAGGTTAGATAATGAATTCAAACTTCCAATCACGCATGCCATAGCATCTATACTCCAGTATAAGTGGAGACATATGAGGTGCAGAAACAACACCCCTGCTTCTTCTAGCCTTAGTAGGAAGCCACACAACAGTGGTGAGGTACCCCTCCTTAACTTGGGTGTCATTGGAAGCAGAGTGAGAGATCTAGATGCCTCCCTGGCAATCTTGAGGGAGGTCCCTCTGTCTGTTAGAACAATGTTAGAGAAAAACAATTGAAAGAGATTTAAATGAGATCCAGAGCCTTACAATGTAATACCAAAAATGTCCAGATTTCAATAGAAAAATCTACTTGGAAGATCTCATATTAATGTAAAAAAGGCAATCTATGACTGCCAAGACCAAGATGGGAAAGATAATAGAATTGTAAGGGATTTAACCACATCACAATATATCAACAAGAAATTATGAATATCTTAAATAGAGGGCTACAGCAAAGAGAATTTTACTAAATAAAGAGAAGATAAAAAAGAGGAACCAAGCCAGGCACCGGTGGCTCACACCTGTAATCCTAGCTACTCAGGAGGCTGAGATCTGAGGATTATGGTTCAAAGCCAACCAGCACAGGAAAGTCCGTGAGACTCATATCCTATAAACCATTAGAAAACCAGAAGTGGCTTTGTGGCTCAAGCAGT